TAGGATAGGTAAATGGAACACATTTAACATAATATAGAAAATTCTGGTCTCAGGTAAAGACATTTCTCTGAGTATATTTACATTTAAAAATGCACTTGCAAAATAAAAGCAGAGACTCATGTAATTATTTTTATTCCAATCCCTCTGTAGCAGTAGCAGCAAAGGACATTATAGGACATGGCACGGTGCTCACAAGATCTGAAGCCAAATTTTAAGCCTGTTTTTTCTAAGTATCTGCCAATCTGCAAAAACACCTGAGTTTATGACATGATGTTGAGTTTAGGATTATCTGTACACTGAGTTAAGTTCTTAAAATACATTATTATATAACAGTTTTTTGGGGCTCTTACCTTACTCAGTTTACTACATGACTTTCCTATGGGACAAAACCCAAAGTAGTGATGAAGACTCTGCTTTCTGGACACTTGTTTTCCCCCTATATAATTTGTTGCAAAAACTGGTAAGTGATAAAAGGCAAACTTGAAGAAAACAGAAGGTGTTACAATGAAAGTAAATTAATGTGGCTTTTTGCCATGGAGCTCTTCTGCAGTGCCAGCCAGGCCATTTAAATCACACTTTTCACTATTCTTTAGCAACTGCATGTTCCTCATCTTCCCATATGTGGCTTGAGATTGTGGGTTGTAATTTGAAGCAGAGATGAAGAGTCAGCTTGTAGTTGATTTATGTGGATGCTTTACTTTGTGTATCAGCAGTACTAAACACTGAGTACTCTGAAATATCATCTCCTGGGCACATCAGTCATAAATTAGTGCAGATAACAAAGAGAGGATACAAAAGCCGCATCATGTCATGGGAGTTTTATGGAACAATTTCAGTATGGAGGCATAAGAAAAGAAGTGCATTAGGAAATCATTCTCTCTGATTTCAGAGCAGACTTTTGTCTAAGTAACTCTGAGACATTTGATTTTACAGTCTTTGTGTATAATTTCCTAGACTCTGCTCAAATCAAAGCCTGAACAGAACAGAACTAAATCACTACAACTCCTGCGTGCCTGTCACAAGAACCTACCACCATCCATGATCCAAGGCTCCTGGACCCAAAAGCACAGGCCTCTGAGCCAGATCAGCTGCCTTCCTGCCCGTAAACCAGCAGAAGAGGTTGCAAGACATTTGCTTCTTCAAGTGACATTTACTACCATTAGTGGCTGATAGAAAAGGTAATTCAGGAATAGCAGAAAGAAGAATGTGTTCTGATAGGTAAAACTCCCACCCACTCTTTCTGGATTTTGTTGACAATGCCCAGCACTTGCTATCTGCCCTATGCATGCATAAGGCTTTCTGTAATAGCAGCTCCTCTTTCTACAGCAAGCCTCTTATATCAGTCCCACTGCTCTTGCTAAGCCACTCTCAGCTCTCTTCCTTTGCCTTCCCTCCAAAGTCACTGCTCCCCCGACAACTCCCAGGTGGAACATCCTCCCAATTTCTTGTTCATATGTGTACAAGTTACTTCATTTCTGCTTGGTCTTCAATGACTCTGCCCAATCTCACTGTCTCTCAAGATTTTTCTCAAGCAGCTTTCATCCTTAACTTTGACGTGTGATCTCTCATCTACATCCCTGTGGCCACCTGACCTCCTTTTTGATTACTGAAGTTCCAGCTTATAATCATCTCAGTAATTTTTATCCCCAGACTCAGCTTTCCTCTTTATTCTCTCCCTCTTCTTGCACCATCTCCATGATTCCCCCCTCTCTATCATTGAGCTGCCTCTCTCATTTTCCCAAGTTTCCAAGCCACACTACAACACAACAGAGACAACTTTCAAGAACATTTTTTAAGAAATAAAGAAACATATTTTTCCCTTAGCTTGCCTTTCAGAAATTGCTCAATCACTTGGCTGCTATTTGTCAAAGTTTTCCACCTCAAGTTTTCCATCAGCAATGGAAAAGTGCAGCCAAAATTGCTAAAGCTTCTCAAAGTTATGAGTAACTGATACACAAAGCCATACCAGGATATGCTGTGGAGACTTAACAACACACAGTGCTATCTGCCTCTCCTGGAATTGTACTTATATATAGGTTTTGTGCTTTCATTTAGATTATTGGCTTGAATAAATTAGCTCCATTAGCTTTAACTTTGCCTCAGTAAAAAATATTGACCCTGGTTAAATAGGAAGGGTAGTTGTCTCCAACTTTAAGAGACTTTGCTAAAAATGCTTGCTAAAAATTCCATGCTTATGCACATGATGGCTATAAGCCACCTCCAAACAAGGAACAGAGCTTACTTGCCAAAGTCATACTTCTGCTCTGCTATCAAATCCTTGTTAAAAAGTACACATTTAGTCATTTGACTCTAGTGTGTCTAAAAGTTACATGAAAATATGACATTTCCAAATTTGTCTTGCATTTGCATTTTGTCTACATGTAATTTCTTTTTATCTTACCAATGAACCATCAAATAATTGTTAGTAGCTTTAGGCCCCCTGAGTTATGCAAGAAAAGAAAGGTGTGTCTACAGACATGAAATTTCCAAGTTTTCATTAAACAAAGTCTATACAAAAAGTGCAAAGATCTTTATAGAATGCATAATGATTATGTTTTAAGTACTTCCTTCCAAAATCTTTGCTGAAAACTAAACAGACACATACACTCCCACAGTGTCCTTAAAAACATGAACATTCTGCTTATATCCTATGTTCTTTCTTGAAAAAATACATATTACAGATAATTTTAAAGTTTTCTTATATTTCTCAGTAGTTTTGGTAGGCAAAAACTTTAAATTAAAAGAAAAAAAGCAGCACAGACAAAACCAAACAGTTGTGACTGTTTTAGTTTACTCCTGAAGACTAAAAGACTAAAATAAACTTTGTGTTCAGCTCACTACATCAGCTAAGAGGAAAAAACCTCTCATCTTTCACTTAGTTTTTACTTGCTTGTCTTCATGAAAGCTTAGAAGTTACTGGTGCTGCTTTCTTTCATTTCAGATTTCCATAGATAAGACAGAAACAGTGCAAGTGAAATGCCAGGGACAGTGAACTCATTTTATAAATAAAAGTGTGAGCATGTACAATATATAAAATACATGAGTTCAGATCTGGTCAGATAATGTTCTTACACCTGTTCATTCAGGCTTTGGACCAAAGCACTTGCAGAGCCAGTGAATGATATTTGAACAGAGCTGGGTAAAAATAGATTTGTTCTTGTAACATTATCAAAAGGATCTGACCTAAGAGATGACAACATCTGATGGGGTAAATCATCTGAATTGGATGTTTCCTCATGTTTTAGGATTGGTTAGTATTATTCAGTATGCATAAAATAGCTGACCTCTACTACAGGACATACTGTATTCATGGTCTGTAGCTTTCTTCTTCAGTCCTATATCAAGTCCTTTCCATAGTCCTATTTGTATTATACACCAAAACATTCATTGTAATAGTTTCATTTGCAAAGTAATCCATAAGTACAAAATAAGTTACTTTACAAGACTAGTGCAGAACTCAGACAGCAGCATCTAAGCTGTTTCCTCTTTCTGAATGTCTTATATATCTTAGGCATGCAGCTATATATGTAGTTAGGAATAGTACTCTTTCCATTATAGCAGCTTCTGCTTTCATTGATAAAGAATTGATGCAGTATTCACTGCATTTTAGCTCTTTATGTCTGTTTTGTGACCAAGGCTGCTGTCTGTTAGCCCACTTAGCTTTGCCTGCACGGCTGAGGACTGTGCCCCCTCTGCAGAGCCATCCCCCCTCTGCAGTGAGTGACTCTGCCCAGCACCTTGCTGACATGGTCCAACAGTGTGGATCAAAACCACTCTCTGCAGAGTCACCAAGGAAGATTAGCACTGGAAACAATTTAAACCTGTGCCACAGAGGATAAAAGCTGTGCACGTCTGTATCAAGCAGGGAGGCAGGCAAAGAGCCTGTGTGCACTTATGCCCAAATGACAATGAAAGCACAGGTTGCCCTGCTAAGCCCCTTTTAAATCATGCTCGAGCAACTTTTGTAGGCACTGGTGACTACAAATACTACTGTATACGAATACTATACAGTACTATTATCTAATACTATCTATAAAAATACTACTACAACACTATTGTATTGACACACAATAATAAGGCAATTGTGGCAACATCCCTCCTTTGCTCAAAACCCATAATGTTTTGTTGTGACTCAGAGTTTACATTTTGTTTCAGCTCACTGCATGTGAGACTTGCAAACCTTGGCTGAAACCTCCCATTTTGTCTACACACAGAGCATAGTATCAGTTTAAATTGAACAGTTTGTCAAGCCAGTATAAGATCTGGTGGGCATGGATGACTCAAGAATGACATCTTTGCATTTGAATCGCTCTAGATTTCAATCAGCACAGTCTTTGCCAAGCCCAGGTCTTCAGTTCTGAGGCAGTGAGATAGGGCAAATTGCAGAAGAAAGCATTTGTAATTACAAATCAGTGTTTGGAGAGGTTTTCTCCAGTTTCATGACACATTTTCTTATGTCATCATTTTTGTAGTCTGTGTTGTCAGTGTTTTTCATTTGTTTCTGCAGGAAAGATGGGTTTCTGCTAAATTTTAAAATTTTGTCTATTCACAAGTCAGGCAGTAAAATAAGGTATTGTTACAATGCTAAATGTTAACAGCTCTTCTAACTCATTTCCCTGCAGCTGGGACTATAATTAAGCAGTTAATGACCGTACCCATAGCTTAGAAATGCCTCTACAGAAATACATGCTCTCTCCTGAACCCTACCACAGCACCCTAACTAACTAGCTAGCATAGTAGCCAACATTCCAGCTGCCTATGAGATTGCAGCATAATACGGAGTTTTGAGTAGTCAAAAGTAGAAAAATATTAATCTCTCTTCAGAGCAAGCATTAGAAATTCCCTGGAAAAACCCAAGGAGGAAAAAAGTTATCTAAGAAGCAAAAAAAATACCAGGTTTGCCAGAGCCACGTAACTAAAATATGGCTTCTCTTCCAACATGGTGAGGATAACTCCTGTCAACTTCTTACTAAAAACATTGATGCTAAATGAAATTTTACCTTTTTGTGTGTATTTCCAGACAGGAGTGCTGCAAATATATACTGGGGAGAATACATCTGATGGAAGTAACTCAGTTCTGTATCCAGCACAGATACACCTCAAGGCCTTCTCCAAATCCTTGTTCATTTTCACACCTGTAAAATGAAGATAGATTTCAGTTTTCTTTGCCTTACATGGCTACAGAGATTAAGCAGATATCAAAGTACTTCACCTTCTACCAGTGTAACAGAGCAAACAGGCTCTTTTCCTGGGGGTAGAAAAACTTTTAGAAGGGCCTGGGGCAGAACAAGGTGAAACACCTACAAAAACCTTTCACCCTGCATATCACTGCAGGCTCCCCCAGCAAGAGAAGGAAAGCAATTACATATTCTCAGGTGCTTCCACTGTGGAGTTAAAGTGTCATGCACTGTCCTACCCCTACAATAAAAATAGGGGTAAAATTAATTTTCCTTTTATAAGATTAATAACCCCTGGCAGAGAGCAGAGAGGTCCCAAAGATTTGCTTGATATAGATTAAGCATGTATATATATATATATATACATGCACATATAAAAATACATTATTCAAAAATATTAGGATAATGAAAACTCCTATCCTATGCAGTCAAGAAAAAGGAGAGGAAAAATCGCTTGTATTTGCCAGGCTAGTGATGAGAGCCATGTTTTAGCTGTTCAGCTCATGGCAAAAGAGCACTCTGTACAGAAGAAGATTCTCCTTGCAGATGCCTCACAATAGTTTGCAAAAGCAGGTAAATATAACAGCAATTTTGCAACTAAGGCAACATAGGAATGGAGTAGTTAATTAACTCAATTACTTTTTTTTTTTCTGTAAGTCACTAGAAGACAAGCACAAAAACAAAGTTTCCAGTTTCCCCAAATTCACTTCCAGCCTAAGGTTAAGCCAGCCAGCTGCAGGCATTTGCCATGGTACGTATGAGTATGCATGTAAGTTCCTTGAAGTTAGATGATGTGCATATAGCCACTGAGCCACCTAGTAGCAGGACTTTAAGAAAGGGCATATTTGCAATTCCATACACTAATAGACCAGGACTGGTGAACAGATCAAGTGTCTACCATGTTGGTGACTGCTTCGCTTGACAAAAATATTAGGGAAAGTTTTAGCAGAAACAGTCAGGTATTTGTCCTTTGGCAAGTAAAAAATAAAGAAATGTCTTTCTTTTCCTTCATATAAACTGTAGCTTGAAGCTTTTTTTATTTGTGTTGAAGTCACAATAAGTTACATACACAAAACAAACGGCTGAGACTCCTGGGATTTTATATTCCAGTCAATACAAACTAATTGAAAGAATGTGTGCTAGGAAACAGTGCAATTCTACATGGCAATGGGACCTTTGCTTATCTTGTAGCTCTATGTGCACAGCAGCATTATCCTTTCCACACATTAAAAGGTGCAACCTTTCACATAAAGAGCATCTCCTAACTTCAATTTGAACTTTCACTACTCTTTTTAATGAAGAGCATTTAGGAGATTAGTAACTTGCTCTTTAGGAACTCAAGTGATCTTCTGGTTTCTGTGAATAACTTTAAAAGAAATGCCACTCTGTTAGAGGCAATCTGAACGTGTGCGACACTTACTGTACATGAAAGTGTTTGTTGTACAACTGGATGGGCACCACGCCAGCCAAACTCATCCATCAGGCTGTCAACACCTTACTCTTTTTCTGCAGTGACCTATGTGGAAAATTCTCCTACAAACAGCTGTTCAGATAATAGCAGAAAACAGGTTGTCTTAAACCCCCTTTCAATTGTGCGTAAATGTTTGTGAATTTCTAGTTCCATCTGCAAGATAAACAGGAACACAATGTTCTTTTGAATTACATTTATTATTTGTTTTACATTTTCTATTTGCAGAAACTCTTCTGGACCTCCTACCTCCACTGCCAAAAAAAGACTTAGTTCACTGACCTTTTCTATCTGATGTTTTTGTTAGGATGTGAATCCAGCAGATGGAATTCAATTGTCTTTTCTACTTGTGCCTTTTTTTTCCTAAAGGGTTCATCAGCAGATGTGAAAAGATAGTTCAGAGTCACGTGAAAAAAGCTCAGCAATGGGTACTGTAAATGTGATTAAGACCTGTATTCCACAAAACTGAATTACTAATCTGTTATGTAAAGCAGTGTCTTTTCCAAAAGCACTGAAAATAAATATACTGGAAGTGCCAGAGTAACTTAGGACCCTATTTTTTTGGACCTTCAAGAAGACTTGGATCTTAGACTGCAGGCCAAACTAGTTATACATTCCCTAATTCCTTGGCAGAAAAATTAATTCTGAACAAATCTAGGCCTTGGACGGTGCCAAAAGAAATAACTGATTGACAGCTGTAGGTAGAATTTCCTGAATAAATCCCTAGATGGCCATGTGTAATCATGCTGGATTAGATGTGTGAAGAAAAGTCCTGAGCTGGTCAGCAAAGACACTATTGACCTATTTTTGATGTCACCTTCAGGATGAAATGCACATCTAGGTTATTGTGCATACTCTAAAATGCTACCACTTCTCTTCCCTGAATGCAGAGGTAGCTCATTTCCAGACACCAAACAACACTTGATGAGATAAATCCCCCTTTCAACTCAGTTTAGGAAGTAGGATTTAAGCCTAAAACATTTTCTCACTCTTTTTGAAAATTCATCTGGTAATTTTTTGCAGTCTAGCATAGACTCTTAACCCCATGTATAGCTAACCTGGACCTGGCATAGAAGCAATTTTAATAACAGCAGCACCTGTCTTTCAGGAGTGTGTTTTTAGTTCTCCAAAGCTTCACCAGAAGCACCATTTCTTCTTTTTAAAGGTGAAAGCAGAGATGCAGACATTTTCTTCATACTACCTGGCAGAAATATTCAGCTATCTAGCTGCTAAATAATAACTCCTCTGGGAGCAATTTACAGCAGTTCCTTAAGTTAGCCATATTTAATCCCATTTCAGAAGAAGATACTGTTTGTGGAATTAACTGTGCATGCAGTGAGCCTTGAGAGACTACATTTGAGTTTGCAGAGCTCCAGCAGTCCTCAGATTGGATTAGATTGTATCACACACTAATGTTTGATTGATGATCTGTATTAACTTTTTCCTCCTAATGTGACATTTGTTTTTCTGCCAAGAGACATCCTCTTCATTCTTTTGTTCATGCACAAAGATTATACAACATTCTGTAATTCATACTGCTTACTCTTCCTCACCATTTCAAGTGAGTCCCATGACTGTAGTTCAGTGCACAGAACATTCCTTTACAAAACATGGGGGCTGGTTTTATTTGTTTATCCTTTCCTTTACACATTTCCAGAATGTCAGCCCTGACATTCTGTATTTTTTAGTTCTTTGTGGTCTGAAAATTATGGATTGCAAGCTTAGTCAGAGCTATTATTGAGGGTGAAGTTAATCAAATACAAATGTTTATAAACCAAAGTTTTAAATGCTACAAGCAAAAACCACTTTTCTTCAGACCTCATTCTGTTCCATATAAACACATTTCTATGGCTGATTCTCGTGCCATCAAAGACTTTTCTGACTCTTTTTGGTGCAAAGGTGTAGCAAATGCTAGTGGGAAGAAGGTTCAGTTCTGGGTGACTTCAAGAAAGTAAAAATCTGCCTAGGTTTCAATTCTCTTGGTGACATGAAGGGTATAATAATAATAATCTCCAGGGAGTCCCTTTCACTGTTGTCCATATTGATTGCACGGAAAACCCCTATCAAAAAGATTCATCTCAATAGACACAGTTTTGTGAATTCAATTAGAAAAGGTACTGTTACAGCATGAACTGATGTTCATATCATTAAAAAAAAACACAGTCCCATGAAGGGGATGAAGGCAAGGCAACCAGAAAGGTCAAACCAGCTGCTCATCTTACATGAGAGCCTTAGAGATGAAAATAGGGGAATATGGAAGAAATTCAATAGATATACCAGAATAACTGACACTGCTTGAATCAATTAATAACCACTCTCAGTTTTGTCACTGTTCAAAAAGTCCTTGTCTAAGGAATATAAACACATATACTTCTACCATAAAACACATATTGCTTAGATCACAAGTTAATTTTTCAATTCCTGTTCAAGCCCTGTTCAAAAAGTCCTACAGGGTATAAATTCCCCAAAGTCCTTGTCTAAGGAACATAAACACATATACTTCTACCATAAAACACATATTGCTTAGATCACAAGTTAATTTTTCAATTCCTGTTCAAGCAAAAGAAGACCAATTTCTGGCTGCTTCTGCAACTGTTTTACGGCCAAAATGGCTGTAAGTGTAATACATAGCTGGGTATATATATAATACAAATATATATATGTACAAACGTATATACAACCTGTTATAGCAAGGGATAGTGCAGGAGAATCCATAAACTTGAAATTGTTGTTCTTTGTGAGAAACACGTTTATGGGAATATCCTCCAGCTTTGCTGTCAAGGAGTTTGGATTGCTTTGGAACACAAAGTGTACAACACTGGGGGTTTTGGTGCACTGTTGATATCCCTTACGGAAATGCAGCCCCAGTGCTCAAGCTATGGGAAAGCGGTGCCAGTATTACTTAAGACTCACTCTTGTTCCTTGCTAAAGTTAACCCAATACATTATCATTTAGGAGAAAAGCCTCTTCAGTGCCTAATAAACAAGGGTGAGTTTAAAAAAAATACCATAGCTTTCAATGTGAGAAGGAACTTTTACCTACTGTGTGAGAAAGTATTTATCTAGGCTAAATAGACTTCAGCCTTCTTCAGCTGCACTACAGATTTGTATTTATATCATTATATGAAAATACAAGATTGGAGTCATTATTAAACAGAAAATATGGAGGCTACATCTGCCTGTACTTACCAGACAGAGCTTTTAAATCCTCTCCAAAAAAGGGTGAATTTTGCTCCTCTCACACTACAGGAAGTTCAGTAATTGGCATGTTGTTGGTACCAACTGTCATGTTAACTAAAAGTTTTAAAATTAGACTAGATAGGAAAACAAAACTGACATAAAGAAGATACCTTGAAATTGCAAGGAGATATGGACTCTGATCTACCCAATGTTAATAATTGAAGGGACATAATTTTTAAAATACGAGCACTGCAAAGGATTTGAATGTTCTAGTGCTGCAAGATATGTCACAAACACTGAGTACAACCATG